GAGAGATGGGCGCAGGGAGCGCCCCGGCCCGGGCGGGAGGCCTGGCTCCCCGTCCCAGCTCTGCTCTGCTATTCACGGGGTCCTCTCAGCCTCCCGCCCCGACCCCGCACGTTGTGTCCAGAGGGAGATCCGAGCAAAGGTCGGGTCCTCAGTGCAAGCTACCGAAACCTCCTTAAGGTGTGAACAACGATTCCCACCAAGATGCCAGCCCGGACCTGGCACGGAGCAGGCGCTCCGTGAGTTGTCACAGTTGTTCTCCACCGGCTGATCCGCAAATCTGCCCCCTCCAGGCAGTCCTTTGCGAGCAGTCCCTGAAGCGCCACTGGTTACCTTGGGTGTCAAGTCTGAGCCTCTCAAGGAATTCCCTGACCCCACATGGCTCTATTTTTCTCTAGTGTCACCTGCCAGCAATGCCAGACAGCACCCGACTACTGGCAGCCCCCTGCCCAAACCATGCAGTCAGCTTTTGCACCAGCTGGCCCCTCTGCTAGGAATGCGTCTCCCCCACGCTGAGCCTGGTTTGTCCTCCTTCCTGAGAGTCTTCTTGACCCCCACACTCCAGGTTGGGTTATGTGCTCCCAGTGCCCCGGAGGCATGGCTTTTCATGGCATTTGCCACACTGGTTTGAAATGATCTGTTTAGGGGTCTCTCCACCCCTTTGGATTGTGACCCCAAGAGCCGCTGATCTCTGCCAAATCTTATCTCCAGCACTTAGCCCAGTGCCTGGTGCATATCAGGTGCTCGGTTAAAGGGTAGTTGAGCTGAGTGGGATTGTCATGTGGCCTCACCGAGCCACCATGTTCTCATCTATAAACAGATTTGTGCCCTGCAGATGCTCAGAGTGATTGTGGGAGTGCTTCTTGCAAGAGTGTGAGCCATAGTTGCCACTCAGCTGCCTTGCCCAGTCACCCGAAAGCCATTCTGCACAGGCCAGGTGCTCAGAGAGGCCTGCTCCTAGATTAGGGAACGCTGCGACAGGAGCTCCACTTTGATCAAAGCAAAGTGTCTGCGTGTGCCAGGCCAGCACAAGTGTGCTGTGGACCTGAACCACTCCAGCAGATGCCCAATGCACTCTGGAAAATAAGAGGACAGAGCAGGAGCTCAGAGGACAGCCAAATCCAGCCTGTCCCAGAGGTCTGCCTCTGCTAGCAGCATCTGTTAGAGGGCTGGGGTGGGCCATCTACACCCCACTGTGGCTGGGGGGCTGAGGCACCTTCCTAGAGAAGAAAGCCCAGCCCCAGAGCTGGCAATGCCCCAGACTCCACTGGGCTCAGCAGCCCCTTCCTCTCCTCATTGCAAATCCTTCTGAAAATGACTGTGAGCATTGGAGCCCTACAGCAGCCGAGAGGCGAGATGTCTACCCCTGTGGACATCTCTGTAGGTGATGCAAGAGAGGGGAGGCTCAGGCCGGGCATGGTGGCTCACGCCTGTAATCCTAGCTCTCTGGG